AGAAATACACAACCCAGAAGATAACAAAGCAGACCAGTTAACATGAGTTTATAAACAAAGGTTTCCACACTACTAAGATATATATATTTATGCACCGACATTTACATGTATAAAATATTTAGAATACTTTACACCCCTTTCACCCTTTGATTACACGATGAGATATCGCTGGATTTTGACAAGTCACTAGAATTGGGTATTTAGTTTGTACTAAAATGTACTGCACTTGTTTTAAAAATCACTATATTGACGCATAGTTGTAATAAATACCTGCGGATCATCAGGGAATATGTTATCAACCAGTCTCTTCCAGCGTGGTTTAAAAGCTGATACACAGCTACAGCACCCTGCATGTACATAGGTAGTGAGAGATGCAGTAAGCTCATGATCTACAGTGGACAGAGAAAAGAATGGAAGGAGATAGAAGCTAATGGAGAGGATAGAATGAAAGCTATATGTAAAGATGAAATTAACAGCAGGTACCAGTACCCATTAATAATTAGCACCAATGGTTGATTAAGTGAATACAAACCTGCTTGTAAGTATATATGGGATGAATGTGGTGTTAGCAAATAATTTGTTGACCACAGATACCACAATATCATGCATGTAGTAACAATGTGTAAGCCCATAAAATTGCTATACTCCGCCACTAAATACTAATGTCAGTCAGCAAACAGCCACTCAATATGATACACACTGTACTTGCTTGGTGAAGCACCTGGCTGGCAATGGCAAGCATTTTCGTTAATGGAAGGTATTAATATTTATACCACTAAACACTGAAGTCAGCAGACCCATATCTATACTTATAAACCCAACTTTTTCATTTGATATCAGTCTCATTGTGTAAATGTCATTTAAGTTCATGAATAATTCATAATGTATGTGGTTTTGTTGACTCCAGTGCATAGAGAAATTTATCAATATGCGTTTATAAACATGTTTGACGAAAATATTGAAGAGTGAGAAGTGAATAAGAATAAGACTTGAAATAAAGGGAGAGAGACAGAGACATGTCTACTTGAATAAGGAATATTAAAATTTATTGAATACTTGTAAATCAGCAGTACTGTTTTGAAACCTGCCACAGTATTAGTTCACATGCAAGGTGAGATTAGAAAGACCAGATTATGGTGATAATCAAAACGCAAAATAAAAGCATATCAAAAGGTTTATTTTCACAAAAATTTGTCACCAGACATTTCGCATACAGAAGCTTTGAATAAGAGCCAGGTTCACTTTATCTTCTGTCATTAATGAATTTATATTTTGTTTACACTATTTATTATATAGTTTTTAAAATTATAAAACAAATAATTGAGTTTTCAACACAATTATAAGCATCACTAAATCAGTGTCCTGGGTAGTTGCGGCTTGATATGGGGAACAGCTCGCTATTTCGAGAGTTTATTGGTCCAAGGTTCATTGGTCCAAGGGTTCATTGGTCCGACGGCCTTAAATGATGAAGGAATCCCTGTTATTGTTAAATTTTGAACACATCTTGCAATCTGTGGACTAATTTAGAAGTTAGCTTGTTTTTTATGTGTTTATATTTTATGATTTTGTTAAATTGATAAAACATTATCGGAAATATTACTTTTCCCTTCTTTTGTGTCATTCATTCCCAGTGCCTGTACTAAATGTTATAGTTTTACTATCTCAATTTGTATTTAATCATCTTTAAGTTATACTACTGATTGGTTGCACAGCTGTCGATTCTATTTTTCGTACAGATAGACGTTTGTTTCCTTGAAAGTCTCCATAGGTTGGTTCCCGGGGTGGGGGTAGTGATATATAGCTGGGTTGGAAGGTGCCCCCTAGCCCTAAATAATGTGACTATTTTTATACCTGGGTAGTTGCAATATCTACACCAATATTTATACCAAAAGAAGAAACCCAATGTCAGCTTGCACATTTTACATACAATCATTGAAGGCATCAGAGCCTTACAGTTTGTACAATTAGATTTAAATAAGATTTTATTTTATTAATTGTTTTATTTAATTTTTGTTTTCATTTTTCCAATGTTTCGCAATTATATATAAATCATTTTATTAGTCTGATTGCCACAGGTTTTGGTGATCTAATAATGTAAGTAAAAATGTAAACAAATGAAAATAATAATAAATGAATAAATTTAAAAAAGCCCAACAAAGTCTCATTTTAATCTGATTACATTTTGCGTTTAATACACTTAAAAACTAACGCACTGATTATTTTGTTTAATATTTGAGGTAGACTGGCATATAGGGGGAGTGATAAACTAAAACTATTTTTTTAATTTGTCTAAATTCTGCAGAAATACCTCCTGCAATAATTACTAGATGTTGTAGAAAGCATAGGCCCAGGCATTCTATGGTAAACATAGGACAAATTGTAATGAAATAATTTAATTATGTATCTACCTGCAAATGCTTAGTATTAAATTCTTAGAACACTACAGACATTGGTCATTAATCTTAAAATATTCCGAAAATGCTACAGCATTTTAAAGATGTATAGTACAATATGAGTAAATACACATTATCATATAACGACTGCAACACAGATAAACATTGTGTTCCTTTCCCTTCTGGTAAAAGCCTGACTCGCATTTATTGCAACAATATATTGAACAATGTAGCTTCGCAAAATTTGTCATATTGGAATGTGTAGAAAGCGCGACATTGCATTTTTTCATTATCCATTAGTTACGTCAAATATACAACATTTCATTTTATCTCAAAATGGAGGTATGTATGGTACCTTCTAGAAGTACCTGCCAAAATGTGATTACATCTTAGATCGATATTAGAGTATGGCGACTATTAGGCCCCCTGTTTCTTGAGACAGCAATTCTCCTGTAATATCAGAGAATTTCAATTATTCTGTCTAAAAATCGTATTAAGATCAATATTAGGGATTGTTTGTTTTGAAGTTTCTCTGTTCTTGGACCAGTAATTTCCAATAGAGACGTAGAATCTAAATACCGATAATTATCAGAAGTTGGAATAATTTACCACCTCTAGTAGTCAAGACAAAATGATAATTGTACGATATTAGACAACTTTTCAATAATGATAATTTTTTGATAATTATATGGTGAAAAACATGCAGTGTCATGTCTTCTGTGGTAATTCGTTTACTTATGTATTAGACGGCACTTTTTCATGATTCTATTCATTTTAGCTGTTTTCTTTATAAACAGTTAAAAAAGGGAATTTTAACATGAAAGTATAATATGGTCTATCTTTTTTGTATTTTCACTGCATACTGTTTCTACATTATTTCTGCATATTCTGTTTTACATTTACAATTTGTCTATCGTTATTGTTGTTTACAACATATCATCAAAAGATGTGTTTATGTTTATGTTTTTATTAACATCATCATAACTCCATATTGCAACAAAAACAACAGTAAGCCTCTCAATAATACCTTTCTAACTAAAAAAAGAAATGAACTATAGAAAATTGCACAGCGCGTAAAAGTTGGATACTGTGCATAGACGATAGCGATCTTTTCTTACTCAACTGTCGTTTTTAGCTTGTGTTTTAGTGTGTATACAAACCGATAATACACAGGCTGGGCTGGGTGGAATGATAACCACGCAATACTAGATTACGTCATTTGAGAAGTTAATCAGAAAATTAATTACCAATAAATACTTGATTATTTAAGCTTCGGACTAATTGAACCCTCGGACCATAACGTTAGTACCTTCCATGCTCGGACTAATGAACCCTCGGACTAATGAACCCTCGGACTAATGAACCCTCGGACTGATGAACCCTCGGAATATCGACCTGTAACCGTAGTGTGTATCGATACGTGTATCGATATGCCACTTTCATTTTGCATTTTTTAGCCCATCCTAATTTAGTACTTTCAGGCTGCTAGAAACACCTGAATCAAACACTACCAATCGCTCGGGTTCAGACGACACGTCATATTATAGAAATCTCTGATAATGTTAGTAGTTATTTTTTATGAAATATCGGTTACACTGAACGAAATGGGACAAGCGAAAAATCGACTGCCAGCAGTCTACGCCTCCGCACATCACCGAAAACCGACATTTTCTCTTTGGCTTTGCAAAAAAAAACACAATAGACTTGCCTGGCATCTTGTCTGTAACCGTAGACGGTGCTCACCCAGTGTATATGATACGATCTTTCCTTCAGTCATCCATGGAAAGATTCGATTCTGGAAGAAAAAATACAGAATAACAAAAATACTGTTTCTGCCCCGGAGATAGGTTTACCTATGACCCGGAAACTATTCTCTGTAAATGCGCCACCTACGGTCTGTTTAAGAATTAACCATTGTAATTTAGGTTTTACGCCATCGCGTTTATGCGTGCATGAAGAGTTGGGCCCGAGTGTCTGAAATAGGGTTCCTTTGTGAGTCATAGTGTTTGGAATGAGATTTGTATTTTAGTCTCACTATTCAATGGGTTCCCTTGTTTGGAATGGAACCCTTTTGAGCCGAAGTTACATTATAATAACACAAACCTCAACAGCCGCTGAAAGCGTCGTTCAATCCATACAAATCTCTAATCCCGGCAAGAACAGTTAAAGGGGAACCTTCCAAGCCCAGGGATTGCACCAAAGAATCATGGGGCACTATTGTTTAGGTTGTTTAAAAAGTTAATCTATCTTTTGTTATCCATTGTAATTTTAATCCAG